CCACAGCTTGGGTTCTTGGTTCAGAGAAACAAAATCCTTTAATTATATTTCTGGAACTCCTATAAAGTAGTAGGCACACACAGAGATCACAACTCAAAAGCTTTGTTACTGGCTGTAAACCAAAGTCGGACACTGGCTTATTCAAATCTAAAAAGCCCCGCCTGGTTCTGGGGTGAGCACCACAGGCTAAAATTAGCCTGCCATCTGCTGAGACAGCAGCTAGGCTATTCTGAGCCCCAGCAAGCCTGCTGGGAGTGGGGCTGGGGCTGGGGAAGTGGTGGGAGGCTGGTCACTCCCTGGTCAAGAGGGATGACGGGAAGACAGGAGCGAGAAGCCACGTTGAAGGGAGGCCAGTATCACGGTGGGGTCTCCCAGGAGACTGACTTAGCACATGACTGCGTCCTGTTCTCTAGTTCTTCCTTACTTACCTGAGGCTCCTGTTTGCATTCATATTCCAGCAGAACTGTTCTCCGGGATTTCAGTGATAATGGCCAAGATCTACCACATCTATGGAGTACGTCAGAGGTCCGGAGCCATGCACACTACTTTGTCGGGACTCTTTGTACACATTCTCAAGACAACTCTGATCGGTTCCAGTTTCAGGGATTCAGAACAGTTTGACTTTCCTTCATGCAGTCAAAGAGAAATGCCTTGTCTTTTTCTTTTCGGTTCCAGGAATCCAACTGGGGACCTTGCGCTGTGAGGCAGGCGCAGCACCACAGAGCCAAATCCCCAGCCCTGAGAAAGGCCTTGTTGAAAGCACCATCAAGGGGAGCTGGAGTTCAGAACTCAGAGCACAAGGGGTCTCTTCTGTGGCCCCAGGCCTGCTTCATCAGTCAGAGTAAGAATCCACTGTAGCAAGTACTGAGGAACCTGGAAGTACAAGTGTAACCCAGACACTTCTTTTGCTGTGACCAGGAAACCAGTTCAATTTGTATTTATGGAGTAGTATTAACACTGCTGGAGATCCTAGACTCGGGCCAGAGGTATTCTCTGGTTAAAACTGCACTGGGGGCCCGGGGATGGAGCTCAGCAGTGGAGTGCTTGCTTGCTCAACATGCCTGAGGCTCGGAATTCCACCCTCAGCACCAGAAAAACAATAAGCAATCAAAACTAATCAAATAAGAAACTATCAACATTTATAAAGTAGAGCCAAGTGCGGTGGAGCCTACTTGGAATCCCAGCACTTGAGAGACAGAGGTGGAACTGAGTTCAAAGCCAGCCTGAACTACATAGCGAGATTTTTGTCTCCAAAAAACAAAAACCCATGAAAGTTCATAAAATGTATTTATTTCATGTTCTTGAATGAAGCACCAGCAACAACAAAAGCCTAAAATAATGAAAATATTCACAACATCTTGACACTAAAAGCAATGTACAGTGGACCCTCAAGTTACAACTGGCCTGACATGAACTTGGGTTAATTAGGTTAATGGAAGAGTCTTCTGCCTCTTGTCATCTATAACGTGCATACAGATAAACATCCAGATCTCAGCTCTATGGACTTACAGCCAAGTTGACTTACAACCAGCCCTTGGGAACTGATTGAGTTTGTAAGTCAGGGGGCCACTGTGATTCTAATTTAACCTTTCATCATGAAATTACTTCAACTTGCTAAGAAATGGCACTATTGATGGCTCACTACCTGGTTGATCCACAGGACTTTTTTCTACAATCCTTTTTGTAATTCTTCCTGCCCTCAGCCAGAACCTGAGTTGACTGAGGTGACCCTAACCAACCTTCATTCCCTAAGGGAATGAGAGTCCTTAGTGGTCCCATCTCTTTTCTGGGCTGTGGTGTTTGGGTTGCTGTGCCCCTGCTGGCTTTCCCTGGGACATGGCAGTACTAAGCCCTCTCCTGAGAATTCCCTGGGGTCTTCGCTGTCCCGTGTGGAGCACTCCGCTTCCCCTTGGTGATCCTGACTGGCATCTGCACATTGGCTCATGGAGCAAGGAGCCTCTACCTGCAGGCACCCACCTATCTTCCAACTCAGCGTAACTATTATTTCTCTTCCGAGACAGGGTCTATGGAGTTCAGGCTGGCCATGAGAACTATGTGCCAGACTGGCCTCAAACTCAACAGTGATCCCCCTGCCTCAGCCTCCTGAGTGCTGGGATTGCAGGTGTGCACTACCGTGCCCGGCAAAATCTCTGTGCACAGGGTATTTATCAGCTACTAGTGAGCAAGTGTCAGCCCTGATTTACAGCATCTACTGCATCCTGTAAGACCAAGACCCATCCCTTCAGAGAGCATCCTACGCCTGGCACCATCATCTGCCTCTGCCACAAACTCCTCGGCCCCTTCTGGCTGACAGGACAGTGGCCAACCAGCCAGGCCACAGGCTGAGCCCACGGCTGCCTCTTCCACGGGGAAGCAAGCTGTGTGGGAGGCCCCAGTAGTGGACAAACACTAGGCATACAGGACACACGCAGGTGTCCACAGGGCCAGCCTGCACGGAGTGTCATCTTTTAAAGTGTTCAAGGCCACATATTTGTTTCCAAAAATGTATCTCGTAACCTAGGTCACCTCTCTAGTAATGAGAAACACTCACTGCCCTCAGTCAGATGGGCAGGTGCCTCAGGTGCCCCTCGGGGTTGGGAGGGTGGCAGATGCTGCTTAAGGTACCAGACCTCACACAACCTGGTGACTCCAATCGGCCATCAGGGTTAGCGATGGACGACACCGTGCCTCACGTGATTCTGGTCTTCTGGGAGTTGAGACATGGATCCAGGAGAAAAGAAATGCTACCACCTATGGAAATGTAAATCCTAAGCCACTTGGCTGTGTCAAAGCATTATAAAATGTGTGTGTGTGCGTGCTGGAGCCTGAACCCAGAGCCACACACTAGGCAGGTGCTCTAAGAAACTGCTAGTCTCAGAATCCTCAGTCCTTCCTATCCAGATCCTAACAGTGAGAAGACCTAGGAAAAGGCTGAGATTATGCACACGCACGCACGCACGCACGCACGTCAGGGGCCAGGCCCTGCCCGCCTTCATCTGGCCCGAATTCATTCCCGAGAGCAGAGCAGGGATGTTGGAGGATTTGTTTTCTAGCTCCCAGAGGCAACACCCGAAGTACGGTGAAACCATAGCAGAGTCTGCTGGCCGGCACGGGTGTGGCGCGGAGTGTCTGAGAGCTGCTGGAAACTTATGTCACTGAACAGGGCAGCCAGAAACACGCAGTGTGTGGCTGAGCAGCTGCTGTCACTTGAGGTCAAGCACCCTGGAAGAGACCACCACCTGCTCTGTAGAGATCCACTGCCTGTGCACGGCTGGCTTGGAACATGTTTCTGCAGTGCTGGGGACTGAATGTGGGCATGCACTGTACCCCTGAGCTGTACACCTGGCCGAGTTTTAAAATTCACTGGTCACATTTTAGCTGCTTTCAGGTGGGACTTGAATTTCTTTAAAATAGAAAATAGTGCATGAATATAACAACGTAGGATGGTATGTTCCCCCTTTTTGGTTCGGAAATTGAACTCAGGACCCTGCACTTGACAGGCAGGTACTGAGCCACTGACTTACATCCCCGGCCTGGCACGTCCCCTTTTTAAAAAATAAAAAGTCAGAAATGTGACTCTTTAGAAATCAGTTTTGATTATAGGGAACCAATTAAGCAAACACTCCAACTTAAAAATACTTTGGTCAGGTACTGTGAAGATAACTGCTTTTTTTCTATGCCGTTAAAAAGGTTAAAGGGCCAGGCGAGGTGGTGCATGCCTCTAAACCCAGCACTCCGAGGCTGGGGCAGGAGGTCTGCCGCAAGTTCAAGGCCATCATGAGACTCAAGTTAGCCAGGAAGCTGATGAGCTTTACTGAATGGCTAACGCATCTGGCACTGAAGACTTTCATGAAGTTACACATAAAGGGAAAAGGTAAGAAACGCTTTGTCTCCAAACCAGTGTCCTTGCTTTGCTCTATCTGAAATCTAACACCTTGACTGCAGCTTGCTAGATGCAGTCACAAACATGGTCACTACAGCACTGAGCTGCAGCTCACACCTAACACCTGTGAGCTCAACTCAGAGAAAATGTCACTCTCTTCTTACCTTTTTTTGGAGACTGGATCTCATCATGTAGTTCAGATTGGTCTTGAATGCACTATGCAGCCCAGGCTAGCCTCAAACACATGGCGACCTTCCTGCCTCAGCCTCTCGGGTGCTGGGACTACAGGTGTGTGCCAGCATGCCTGGCTTTTCTTTCCCGTCTTGAATTGAGTCCTGTCCTGTTTCTCTCACCAAAACCCCCATAGCCCGCAGTGTAACTTGGAGGCTTGAGAGCAGCTTCCTGTTTCCCCCTTCTTCTGGGGAGGTGTGTAGAACTTGAACCCGCCGTGCAGCCCCTCCAGGGTGGGTGCTCTGCCGTCCACAGCTGCTGTCCCTGCCCACTCCTGTGAACAGCTGCTAGGGCCATAAGGCCCAGCTGTGCAGTTCAGAGAACTCAGATGTAAACATTCAGGGTCACCCTTAAATCCTCGGCAGCTCTGAGCGAGGTGGGCTGTGTCCTCCTCTATCCTGTCCGCTAAGCTGAAGAAACTGGAGCGCCTCCCGTAGCTGCTACTCAGGTGAGTGTTCTCACTGGGCAGCGCCCGCGTACCGCGCTGGGCTTGCATTCGGTAGTCTCTGTGGACCTTGCGCCTTATGAGATTAACCTCATCCGCAGTGAGAGACCAGACAACAGGAGCACAGCGTTTGCATTTTAATGGAGAATGACCATTAGCCCTTGGATAGGGACACTGGTGATCACAGATAGTTTTAATCGAGAGAACAAAAGCTCATAGTTGAGTCAAGAATTCCAAACGCAACTTTCAATTTCCTGCCTTATGTTTGGAGAGCTTCTATGCTCAAGTATTTCTAGAAAAGGAAGAAAGCACTCATTTTCTAAGAGCAGTTAATATTCCTCCCGTTGGTCTCCCCACATCCATCCCTGAAAGGCAAAATAACACAAAATCCCCAAAACTAAAAAAAGGACAGTAAGTACAAGATGATGAAGAAAATCTACATAGTACGAAATTAGTTTTTATTTTTAGCTCAAAATAAATGCTTAACATTTTACCAAAATCAAAACTAAAAACGAACACTTAGAAAAGGGTGGAAGCACATTTTTTCCTTCCCTGGGGAAACCAGTAAGGCAGATGCTGTATCGTGGCTTGGCTTTTCTACAGGACTAGTCTAGGCGAACAAAGCAACAAAAACCTCTCCCCAAGTTCTCCTTAATTGTCAGCTATGTTTACCAGGACTGTGCCTGGCAGAATAAAACCCCGGACAATATCCCCCACTGTCAGCTGCAACATAAAACCAAGGACTTGCAAAGCTGGGAAGAGCCTTTTCGCCTGCTCCCATAAAATCCTCCTCTCTATAGAGACGGAGTGGAAGTAGCGGCCATCCGCACCTGGCCGGGGTGTGCGGACATCAGCCACTCGCTCGGGCGCCCAGTCCCTGGGCGGGGCTCACCACAGGGAGGACTTAAAATTGAACTTCAGTTTCAGCAGATACTTCAGATTCACCTGAGCAATGTCATAGACGATGTACCTGGGGGAAGTGAGTTAAGGAGACAACTGCATGGAGGCCCTGTTCCTCGTCCCCAGGGATGGTCTGCGGTCCCCCAGGCAAGGCAGGACTTACAGATGCCGGACACGGGCAAGCCTCACCCTTCGGGCCCCGGGGAATCAGGCACCAGCAGACGCCACAGCAGGCCCGAGGAGCCTGCCTGCAGGCGGCCTGTGCACGGGCTGCGGCTCCCGCACACAGCACGCACAGAAGGATACTCATTGTACAGCAGGCAGGTGTCGTTCACACCAGAGGAGATCCCCGGGCCCAGGGGCACCTCGACCCCCTGCACAGCGATGCTAGCCGAGGGGTCAGGGGTCGTTTTTCCCAAACCTACAAGACAGAAGGTAAGGTGCTAGGAGCTGTGGGAACGGGAGCAAACACGTCCCGAGGGAATGAGGTGCATGTTCTTGTGGACCCTCGAGTTATGGCTGGCCTGACACACGAACAACTTGGGTCACGATCCTAATTTTAGTTTTAACTTAATGACCAAAGACTTGATTGTGACCAGGACACCTGCCACTTATACTTCCAGATGGTCTCAGATACAGACTTAACCCTTGAAGAGTTCTGGAAGGAACATGACAACATCCTTGCCTGTGTGGGGCTAACTGAGAAATCCTGGGCCAGAGTCTCTCTGAGGACACCGAGATCTGCCTGTGTTCAGGAGAGACTGAAGGCTGTGGACAGGAGCCTGAGCCTTCAACTGACCACCTTGAGTTACAACTGCCCTCAGGAACAAACTGAGTTAGTCAAGGGCGCACTGCATTCTCTCCAGCTATGAAACTGGAGGCTAGAAGCCGGGCATGGTGGCACACACCTGTAGTACTAGGATTCAGGAGGCTGAGGCAGGAGGATTGCTGAGTTTGAGGCCAGTCTGGGCTACCCAGTTCAAGACTAGCCTGAACTGCAGAGTGAGACCCTGTCGTAAAAAACCAAAACAACCTGGAGACTAATCCAGGTTCTCAGGTATTAATCTTAATTCTTTTTTATGGAGAAGAGCAACATCAGCCCCTCTACAGGATTCCATGGCATAGAAGCTCCTCCCATACTCAAAGCCAACAAACACCCCAAGCTACTGGTACCCGCATAGGCACCTGTGATACTGGCGACAGCCCAGAGTGAAACTGCCTGTTTAAATGAACCTCAGTGTAACAGCCAGCCCCAAGCAGCCCTCAGCCTCTCCAGGAGACACATCACCTTTGACGCTGTGCTTGCCCTTGGGTAACTTGCTGATGTGTGAAGCATGCTTCAGTTCGTACCTGTTCAGGAGAGAGAGTCTCAGAGCCAGACCAGCACTGAAGTTAGCATGATCAGGTCCAACAGCCTAGAACACCCAGAGCACCCTGCCCATTCTCACTGCCAGGACCCCCCGAGCTCCTGGAACCCCTCCTGAGCCTGCTGGTGCAGGCCTTGAACAGACTGCTCAGCCCTTACTGCTGCGGGCCCACAACGAGGCCAAGGTCCTGTTTGGAGCTTCCACCAGCTGCTCTGGAGGTTTCCATCCCGGGAACTTTGGGACACAACTGATAGGATCAGAAGATGCCCACAGCAAGCTGCACTAACCAGATTTTCCTTGTGGAGAATGAGGAACTGAGATTAAGAGCGCAGTTCTATCCACTTTGGTCTCAGAAAATCTGCATGCCAGTGAGAGGTGGGGCAGTTACAGGGCAGCCATCTCTGGCGCAGTTCAACCTCTGTGCTTCCCCGTGCCTGAGGCCCGGCGGCTCCTGCCCTGCGTCTTCCAGGGTGCCTTTCCCTCCTGCTCAGCCTCTACTTGAATTGGCTTCTGCTCCTTACAAGCAAGTGAAGGGTCCGCTCAGTCCCTGCTGGGGTCCCTCCACAGCCCCTGGGCCTCTGCTCCACCTGTTCTGCCAATCCCGCACTCACATGTTTCCAAGGGCGACTTCTCCCAACAGGATTAGGCCTATTGGGTCTCCCTGAGATGTGTGGCAGTAGTTGGCACTCTTGGAGACCATGTCAGCAAAATAGATGCCTTTCCCAAACATGTAGCCTGTCTGCAGGGTTAGAAGAGGGACAGATGAAAACCTCCTCACAGTAAGGCGAATTACTGAGTGCCGACTTAATTAAGCAGCACCCAGCGAGTGCTGTCACCTGTCACTTCAGACAGGGCCCAGTCCTGCCTGATACCAAGGGGCTGCAAGGAAGTTATTTAAGGCCTCGGAGCCCATTTTCTTCCTCTCAGCTGGAAAAATAATTTCATGGGGCTAATGGGAGAGTCACAAATGAATTAACATTGCTTAAACTTGTGCCAGGTACATGGGCACAGGCAGGGAACGGCAGCCATCATTTCCAGCTCCTGTGACAGTGAAGCACAGGACTCAGAGAGTGCAGGTCGTCTGCCCAGTCACTGACTACACTACCACATGGACCAGTGAGTCACCACGCTGCCTCCCACCTGACCGGAGTGCATAGAGGCCAGCTGCTGCTAAGCGACAGGGCAGCTCAGGGCTTAGCCCGGCCGGTGCCTCCATCCTCCCGCCCTGCCCCGTGTGTGTCCCTCCAGCCGCTCGCTCAGCTGAAGAGGCCCGACACCCCGCATTGGAGGCGCATTCCCGGGGCCAAGGGTACACAAGCAGCTCCGCTCCACTGCTCGAACCTCCAAACAAGCTCCCAAGGTCCAAGTCTGCTTTCTGCATGCCAGCCCACTCAGCACTCCCAGCAGCCCTGGCCTGAACTTCTGTTCCAGAAACGACACTTGAGGCCTGGGCAGCTGCACCGTGGACAGGGCTGGGTCTGGAAGATGAGGGAAGGCACACCTGGACTACTGCTCCAGGGCCAGGGAAAGATGTGTGATGAGGCCAACACCCACCCACACCTGACTCCCTCCCCAGGGCTGCGCGGGACAGCGCCCCCGTGGGGTACCTACCACAGGAGCTTCAGGCGGCGCTATCCGCAGGCCCTGGGACAGGATCCCGGCGAAGTTGGTGGTCCGGGACCCGTGCCACAGCAACTTCCGGTTGTGGAGCTGCTTGAAGGGCTTGTAACGCTGGCTCTCGCCTTCCCGCGCTATCTTGAAGATCTGGTGGGGCAGCCAGCAAAGGAGAGACAAGCACCTGAAAGACCTTACTGGCTAGGGAGCACTGAGCTCCCGTCTCTACAGCTAGAAAACACAGGTCTGTTGCAGTATGGAAGCTGTCTTTCCTGGGACCAGAGTTAGCCGACCTATCACGGTCCTACCTCACAGGACCCAGGCCTGAATCCGAAGAGCACACCTGAGGAAGTTCACCTCGAACTTCTGGTAACCATATTTTCTGGTTCTAAAACCAAGTCTGGGGACTGCAAATGCCTTTTAAAAATGTAATACAAAGCTACCCCAACCACAAGACTTAATTTTCCTGCTCAACAGACAAGTGAGTCTGCATGTTTTCTCTGCATGTTGAAAGCAAAGCAGACTGCTCTTGTTTACCAGGGCCAAGGATAGAGAAGGTGGGCGGGGGAAGCTGCCAGGCATAAAGGGGGAAGGAGATGGGGTCTTACGTCGATGACCTCCAAGTCATATGCATTGTGTGTGGTTGCGTGCGTGTTCTTCACATATTTCCTGATGATCTCCGCTTCTTCAGAATCTTTGTCAACCACCTAGAAAACAAGTGTCAGGGTTAGAGCAAGGAGGACCCAGGAGAGCCCCACCAGGACCAATACACACTCCTCATCCATCTTTCCACCTGCTGAAGAGCGCTAAGGACCTCCGGTCATTTCCCATCTTAAAATCCTATGTTCTTCGATATTAGTAAAGCTGCAATGAGCTCACTGTCAGTGACCTGGGAGAATCCAGACCAAGGAACTGGCTCCCTGGACCAGCAGCACACCGTGACACAACCAAGGGCCTGGAAGACACCATGCAATTAGAAATGGGAGGAATCTGGCCAAGCACTGAGATTCTGAGGACAGGAATGAAAGCTCAGTCTCTGAATTCTAGGGCCTCATGTGTTAACCTTGGCTCAGAGCACAGGCCTAAAAATGCAACGTTTATGTAATCCACACTAAATACGCCAGAGCAAACTGGGAAAACAATACGTGTATGTTTTCAGATTCCTATTAAAAGTTTGAAAACTCTAGGAATTTTGGTCTTCCTCACCACTAAAAGCCTCAAAACTGTAAATAAAGAGTGAGAGCCCCTTCATCAGGAAGGCACTCCCAGGCGGAGGAGACTGGAGTTCCATGCCGTCTCACTCAAGGCTCAACACTCCGGTGCCCTTTACCTGACCACACCTCCAAGAAAGAGGCCGGGGCCAGGGAAAACGAGGTGCAAATCTCTGGATGGCTCAGGCAGGGTGGTTTGTGCCTAAGCCTCAAACAGCCAAGTTCAAGGACTCCTGTGTGCACCCACGTGGGACACAACACATCACACACATCCCATTTCCGCTGCAGCCACTGCTGGGGACACGTCAGCTTCTGAGATGGGGCCCTGGAAAACAAGTTATCTACCAGCTCCCACCTCCAGTCTCCAAAGCAGTTCCTCTCCAGGCTAAGGAGGAAAAAGGAACTTCTGGCAAGATCTTCAAAAATCAGCATCCACATCAGTTCCCACTTGCTGGAAAACCTATCTGGCACACAGGGCACCATGGACAGGTGAAATGCCTGGGGTCTCCAAGGACCACCAAGCGACACCCAGAAAGGCAACTTCACGGGCCCAACAGTCTCCTTGGGATCTTGACACACATTCAAGCTGGGGACCGCTCTCTTGGGATCAGCAGTTAAGACCCTCGGAAAGGGCTGGCTTCTTACCTTTATGTCAGTTCTGAGCTTCTCATAGTTGACATCGATGGGGTCCTTGCTGCTGTCATCAGACCCACCCCTCAGCAGACTGTAGGCCACCTCGATGTCCAGGAGGTTGTCCAGCATTTCCACCTTGGCCTGGGGACCACAGAGAGACTTGGAGTCAAGTACTAAAGAGAGCGAGGCAGACGCCTTCTGCTCAGATCACCTGTGTGCGACACAGTTCGGCACAATGAAGGAGACATTCAAAAGCATTCCCTGGAGTGCCCACGAGGCCTCTCCACCCGGGTGAGGTGAGGATGGGAAGAATCCCTGCCTGCACACACTGATGGCAGGTGAGGGCCAACACTACGGATGCTGCAAGCTGTGCCTCAGCAGGAACTCCCGTGGGTTCCCTGCAAGGTGGGAGAAGGATCTCTCTGTCCACTGGCTCTTTCCCCCAGAGCAAGGCCAGGAAAACAGGCAGTCTGGCCAGACACCGTCTCCATCCATGGGGGAAAAACCCTCATATCCAAAAAGGGCCCGGGGGAGGTCCTGCCTCAGGGACCCCGACGAGGAGGGGCACCCCGGACATTGGCACTACCTGCACACTGTCTGCGCTGTTCAGCAGCGGGGGCTTCTTCATCCCAAAGTCATGGGGGATCAGGGTATAGAAGCGATTTGAGAGATCCAGGATCTGGGAGTCACTGCTGCCTTGGGACAGGGCCTGAAGGGGAAGGGACAGAAGGAATGTGAGGCTGAGGCAGGAAGCCTAGATGCCTGGCACCGTGCCGGGCCTTCCCACCTGGAGGGGCACTGCAGCTGGAGGCCAGGACGTGTGCGGCTCCCAACCGAGGGCTGCCTTCCCCTGCCTGGAGCGTGCTGAGCAGAAGGGGCAGGGCCCCGGCCTCCAACAGCTCAGCACCTAACTCGTTCTCACTCCACTGGCGTCGCTGATGATGTAAAATGTAAACTACAAAACCCTAGCGGTGGCTCATGGCTGCTGGAAAATGCCTGCAATTGTTTATGGTTGAAAATTTTTCACAGTATTGGGATGGTGGTGGTCACTCACTGCTATAAAATTCAGTCAGGCTGCCTTTATCCACTGACTCCATTTCTTTTTTTTTTTTATCCTTTTAGTGGTACGTTTTAGGTGTACAACATAATGACACTCATCAGTGGAGAGCTGCACCTTCACATAGTCTCTCTTGGTTCTTATTTTTCCCCCTTCCCCTGCCCTCCCTTCAACCCCTCCAGTCCTCCCTATTTACAAAGACTTTGTTTCCATTTTCTCATATTAATCCCATTCCCTTCTTTCCTTTCCCCTACCCCTCCCACTTCCCCTTCCCCTTTTCTTCCTATTTCACATTATCTATTATACCTTTTAGTCCTTATTTACACCTTGTTTCTCACACCAGAGAAACTATTTGGTATTTACACATGTGTGTCCTGTTTATTTCACTTAAGAGTATCGACTCAATGTGCATCCATTTAGCTATGTCTCTAATTTCTCATTTTTTATGGCTGAGTAGTATTCCATTAAAAAACAAACCACATTTCCTTTATCTAGTCTCCAGTTGATGGGCAATCATGTTGTTTCCAAGTTTTAGCTATCACCAATTGTGCTGCTATGAACATGGGTGGACATGTATCACTGTGGTACGATTCTTTTAATTCTTTGGGGAAGATTCCCAGGAGGGGAATAGCAGGGTCAAATGGGACCTCTAGTCCTAGTTCTCTGAGGTATCTCCATACTGATTTCCACAGTGGTTGCACAAGTCCACACTCCCACCAGCAGTGGAGCAGAGTTCCTCTTTCCCGACAGGCCCGCCAGCATTTGTTATTGGTTGAGTTCATGAGAGCAGCCATTCTTTCTGGAGTGAGGTGGAATCTCAGTGTTGTTTTCATTTGCATCTCTCGAATGACCAGTGATATTGAACATTTTTTCATGTTTATTTGCCATTTCTACTTCTTTGTCTGAGAAATGTCTGTTCATTTCAGATGCCCATTTTTGGAATGGGTCTTTAAATTTGGGAGGTCTGATTTTTTTTACGTTCCTTATAGATTCGAGATAGTAGACCTTTGTCTGAGGGACCACTGGCAAAACTTTTTTCCCACATTGTGGGTTGTCTCTTCACACTGCTGGTGGTTTCTCTTGCTGTGCAGAAGCTTCTTAGTAAAAAGAAATCCTACTTGTTGATTGTTTGTGCCAGTTCATGGGCAACTGAGGATTTTTTGTTCGTACCCTTTTCCTACACCAATGTCTTCAAGAGTTCTACCTAACCTTTGTTCCAGCCAGTTCAGTGTTTCTGTTTTTATATTTAGATCTTTAATCCATTTCGATTTTAGTTTAGTGCATGGTGAGAGATACAGGTCTAGTTTTAACCTTTGGCAAGTTGAAACCCAATTGCTCCAGCACCATTTATATTTTTTCTTTCTTTTTTTTTTTGGTACTGGGGATCGAACTCAGGTCCTTCCACTTGGGAGGCAGGTGGCAGAACCACTGAGCTAAATCCCTGGCCCTCCAGCACCATTTATTAGAGGCTATCTTTCCTCCAGCGAGGGTGTTTGGCTCCTTTGTCAAAGATGAGATGGCTGAGTGTGTCTGGAGTTGTTTCTGCATCTTCTAATCTGTTCCACTGGTCCTCAGGTCTGTTTCTTTGCCAGTACCATGCTGTTTTTATCACAGTAGCTTTGTAGTATAGTTTCAAGTTGGGGGTTGTAATACCCCCTGCCATGTCTCTGTTACCTAGAATTGCTTTTGCTATTCTGGGTCTCTTCTTATTCCAAATGAATTTTTGGATTGTTTTCTCAAGGTCCATGAAGTAGGCTGCTGGGATTTCAATTGGGATTGCATTGAATCTGTATAGCAGTTTTGGAAGTATGGCCATTTTCACTATGTTGATCCTTCCTACCCAGGAGCAGGGGATGTCTTTCCATTTTCCGTTATCCCCCTCAATATCTTTTTTCAAAGTGCTATAGTTTTCAGAGAAAACTATATGGGTACTATAGTGAAGGGAATTGTTTGCCCTATTTCTCTGTGAGTCTGTTGTTCGTGTAGAGGAACGCTGTTGCTTTTTGTGTTAACCTTGTATTCAGCTACTCTACTGAATTTGGTTATTAAGTCTAGAAGACTTTTGGTGGAGTTCTTGGGGTCTTCTATGTACAGTATATCATCTGCAAATAATGACAATTTGACTTCATTTCCTATCTTTATTCCTTTTCTTTCTCTTGTCTAATTGCTCTGGCTAATGTTTCCAAAACTATATTGAACAGGAGTGGTGATAGTGGACATCCTTGTCTTGTTCCTGATTTTAGTGTGAAGGAGTTCAGTTTTTGATCATTTAGTATGATATTGGCTGTTGGTTTTTCATAGATGGCTTTTATCAGATTGAGGTAGAGACCATCCATTCTGATTTTTTGTAGGGTTTTTATCATAAATGCATGTTGGATTTTGTCAAATGTTTTTTCTGCATCTATTGAGATGATCATATGGTTTTTGTCCTTGGCTCTAATTGATATAGTGTATTGCATTGATTGATTTGCCTATGTTCAACCATGCCTGCATCCCTGGGATGAATCTCACTTGGTCAGGGTGTGCGAGCTTCTTGAAGATCTTCTGCATTCTGTTTGCCAGTATCTTATTAAGGATTTTTGCATCTATGTTCATTAGTGAGACTGGCCTATATTTTCTTTTTTCAGTTGGGTCTTTCTCTGCTTTGGGGATCAAGGTGATGCTTGCTTCCAGGAATCATTTTGGGAGTACTGCTTCCCTTTCAATTTTGTTGAAGAATTTAAACCATAGTGGCAGTAGTTCCCCTCTAAATGTCTTGCAGAATTCAGCGGTGAAGCTATCAGGACCCGGGCATTTCTTGGCTGGTAAGTTTTTAATTACGTTTTCAGTTTCATTGATTGATATTGGGTTGTTTAGAATTTTTAAGGTCTTCTTTGTTCAACTTTGGCAATTCATATGTATCTAGGAATCTGTCCATTTCTTCTGTGTTTTCCATCTTATTGGCGTATAGGTTCTTGAACTAGGTATTGCTGATTCTCTGGATTTCTGCTGGGTCTGTTGTAATTTCACCCTTTTCACACGCATGGATTTGGGCCACTGATCCCATTTCTGAAGTGAGGAATTTATTGTTGCACCTGCAGGTCCAGGTGGCCAGAAACAGAAAAGCTAAGCATCCCTACACCACTGTCTCTCAGTGCCCACATGTGGAGGGTGCTTAAGGCATGGATGCTGCACACCTGAAAGACATCTCAGTGACTGTCGAGGGGCAAGCCTGTGAGCAGGCAGCTGCGGGCCTACTTCTCACCATGGGGTGTGGACCTTCTTCTGCCTGGCTGTGGCTGGCACTGGGCCACAGGGAAGGAGGCAACCAGAGCCATCCCACCTGGGGATTCTGGACAGAGAGCCTAAGCCAAAGAAAGCCTCGAATCCTCCCTGCCAGTGGGTGACGAGGAAAGCTGACTGGGTCAACCACTCCGATTCAGGGCTTTTTCTCTAGCACCAGCCAGGGAGCTCTCTTCCTGCCACAGACAAGACCGCACCCACCCAACATAAGCAGAGCTCCCACCTTCTAGGGTGCAGCCTGAGGGTCTGAGGACTGTAGTACCTTGCTACACACCAGGAGACGTTGAGTGAACGTCAAAGGAAGAAAGAAAAATCATTTTCTATTTGGTGACTTCCTAATAACTGCAAAATAAACTCAGCCTAATTTGTAATGATGTGTATCACAACTTTTAAAGAGAACCAAATTTATCCAATTTACAATGAGTCTACCACATGTCTGGTAACTGAAAACATTACTATTTGTAAGTTTTGTGACACTCTTCAGTCACCTCAGGCACTTGTCAGATCCGCTAAACTGAGAGAAATCCAAACCCTGTGGATGGGGATTCTGTGCTGCTGTTCAGGAAACACTAAGAAGATGTCATCGGTGCCACTGCCTAGAAGAGCAGTGGCCAGGAGACCCCCGGAAGCCCCAGCTCACCTGCTGGACCTCGCTGAGGATGGCGTATGCAGCCTGGATCTGCCTTGTGCTCAGCTTCCCCAAGGGCATCTTCTGAAGGTCGATCTGAGGGGACAGGAGGTTCCGCTCTGAAAGCTGAGATGATGACAGGGCGCTCGGGGCCCAACAGAAGTGGCAAAGCAGCTGCCAGGTTTTCCACAGAGACCCAGTAACCCAACTCCACAGAGCATGCGGCCCCTCTCCTGGCTAGGGCTCCAGTCAACAACTATGGCTTCCTGGGCCAGCACTTCTGGAGGAGGATGCAGTGTCACTGCCATCTGCTTTCCAAGGGGGAAGAGGCCCGCGGTCGGTCACGGCTCCCATCCAGGTCCCCTCCTGGTGCCCCAGACCCAAGGTCGGAGTACGCCTCTTTCTGGGCTCCAGGCCAGAAACGAGAATTTCCAAGTGGCTCAAGTTATTGTTAATAGAACACACATCTCAACTCATGAACCGACTGATAGTGTCCTTTTCCAACTGGTCATTCCAGAAGACACACTCAGCCCAACAGCATCAACACTGCTCACTGCGGGGAGAGGGAGAGGTGTGAAGGGAAAGCACGAGGCAGGGGCCGGCTCACCAGTCAGCCGGGGCCACACCCACCTGCTCTGGGTGGAGTCACCACGCTGTCCCCAAAGGCCCTCACTGAGGAGTTTAGCGGCCAGCGGGTGGTGCTGTTAGGTGGTGGAACTGGAGGGGCCTAGTGGAGGAGGCCGGGGTCTGGGGCCTGGCCCTACAGGGGTTCTGGGGCCCTGCACAACTCTTTGCTTCCCTGCGGGACGGCTTTGCTCTGTCACGGCTTTGCTCTGTCACGACACGCTGTGCCCCTGCCTCCCCTGCTGCCCTCAGGCCAGCACTCCCCTCCTCACAGGGAGCGTCCGCGGCTACCTAGCCACAGCGATCCCACTCGGTGTCCCCACCAACCTGCAAGTGTTCTCGCTCCCCACAGCCTCCCTCCTCTTCCTGTCAAACCAGTCACCTGCCTGTGACAACGTCAATGTCGCTTCACAAGAAAGGCCTGAGTCTGAGTGTAGTTAGGGACCTCGATGGACCCCAGAGAAGGCCAGAAATGCTGCGCAGGACTCCAGAACATGAGACAGACCTCTTCTCTCCACCCAATGCACCACGTTCTTCCCACAAGCTATAAACAGGCGGCCTCCCCGACTGCAGTCAGGCCGTGTCTCCATGCACACAGCCCAGAGGCTGGAACTCTACTGTTCTGAGAGTTGGGGCCACAGCAGCCACACCAGAGGGTGCTCCCTCTGGGAAGAGAGTCTACGGCACAGAAGAGGAAAAAGGCGCTGGTCTTTGTACCACCCAAGGGCACTCCAAGGCCGGCCGGTGGCTCCAGGACGGAAGATGCAGGACACAAGTGCGAGCAGAGCAGCCTCAGGGGAGGAGAGCAGTCGTGGTTAATCCCAGATTCACCTTTTGCACTGGGTTCCCGGAAGCTCAGGGCTCAGGAAGAACCTAAGCAGCCAGTGCAGCTGTACACTTCCCATGGCGGCCTGCACTCTCTGGGCTCCACGAGTGGGGAGGCGGAGGCTGGGGAAAGGGCCCCTCCTGCACACCTCCTCCAGGCCGATGAAGCGCACTCAGGGCCACAGGCCAAGGAGGCGCACTCCCCACCCGTCTCCTTAATCACAGCTGGTGTGCACTCCACCAGGTGAAGAACTGTCAGAAACTGCCTTCTGACAGGTGAGCTGCAGCAGTGCTACAGTTTGGATCTGAAATGTCCCTCAAAGGCCCAGGCGCTAGCGGGCTGGTCACCAGCCTGCGGTGGAGCTGCAAGGCGGTGGGTCCCTTAGGAGGCTGGGCCCGGTGGGAAGAAGTTAGGTCACTGGGCTGTGCACTAGAAAAGGACGTTGGGACCCGTCCCTTCTCGGCTAACTTCATTCTCGCCACCAAGAGGTAAACGGACTTCTTCCACCAGGAGCTCCCGCCACAACACGCTCTATCACCACGTGTCTAGAGGCCCTCAGGGCCAAGTGACCACACTGAAACTTTTGAAACTGTGAACTAAATAACGTTTTCTTCCTGTAAGTTGCTTTCCCCGGAGTTCTGTCACAGGGACAGAAAGCCAACACACAGGTTTCTTTCTCTGCGTGGGCTCGTTCTTGGGACCTCGAAAGACAACTCCAATTGACTGGTTCACAGGGGCCTGGAGGAACCCAGCCTACCTGCCCTGTTGGGCAACAAGGAGGGGTAAAGAGCAGGGACCAGGAGCTCTCCACAACACAGCAGGAGGCTCAAAGCCAGTCAAGCGACCATAAGCGAAGCAGCAAGCACAGCAGGCCCTGGCAGCCCTCACCCTGGGAGAGCTGGCACCCACCGCCTCTCGTTTCTGAGAGATGAGGAAATGAGAACAGCCACAGCCCTTCACCAGCTAGCAGCCATCCCTGTCCTCAGCAAATGCTCACAGATGAGTGCAACACAGAGAAGACACGTACCTCGTACTCCACCATGGCTTTCTTCATACTTTCCACATCAAAGATCATCCTAATGAGCTCCTGCACCGGCTTGGGGAGTGCGGATTTGGAGCCAGGGTTTACTGTCAGTTTCTTCACTGCCTCCTCATCCTGTAGGAAGAACAGGCAGAGACCCACATCAACACCCCTGGCAACCTGGTGGTGCTGTGGGGCTGCAGGTAACCCAGGACGCGGGACGGGGGACTGTGAGCCAAGCGCTGCACTGGAGGAACAGGAAGTGATTACCTGGCCATAGTCAATCTCCAGAGGGTAGAACTTTTTGGGATACTTTGTAAAGTTTTTGGAGTGCCAAGCATTTCCAGTTTTGTCTTCATATAATTTCATAAAGTGCTCAATAGCATCTTCCTTAGATGGCATCTGCTCCAGCTTGTTGCTACCAATCTCAGTGCCCACACGGCCCCAGGACCTGAATGTCCAGTACCTACACAGGGAAGGGGGCATGAGACATCGGACAGCTCCCTCACATCCTCCCACCCAGGGAGAATTTTTTTTAATGGTAACAGGGATTGTAGCCAAGCAGTGCTGAGCTGTTCCCAAGCCTTTAAGACAAGGTGTCCCTAAGCCACTAAGTTGCCCAGGCTGGGCTCCACTTTTCAATCCTCACAGGCTCCTGGGAGCTGGGGTCACAGGAAGGCACCCCACCCCGGGGGGCAGTGGTCTACCAGAGCCATACAACTGTTTACCGAGGGAGAGCTTTGAAACACCACGAAACGACCACTGTTATTAGAGGGACTGGGGATCTGAAGCAACATTAGAGTAAGTCTAGCGCTTGTCCAACTGTCTCTCAAACTGTAACCTGTGACTAATGAGAATATCTTAAATCTGGAATCTAAATGCTGGGAGACATGAAGCTGGACCCTGTGACAGATGGCAGCACTGCTGGCGGCCAGTGGCCTCCTCCTCTCTTTTCTGGAGGATCTCACCATTCTGGTTCTCTGTGGTTAGGCCCAGAGCTCACCTGCTCTCCTTGTCATCCTCCAGAAGCTGCAGCTTGTAGTAGGAGTTGGTCCCTTTCACAATGTCCACCAGGCCAAGGGTTGCACTGAAGACCTTCCCGCCCTTCTCCAGGACATGTGCTGAGTGTTCCAGACCTAGCAGGGGCAAAGCTGCAGTCCTCTGCCCAGGGCACTGTGTCCTTAGGCAGAGCCCTGCCTGGGTGGCCACACTCCACCTCCTCCCAGGGGCGCCCTGCAGACCCCTCGGCGTCCCGAGGAGGGTCCGAGGGCAAAGGCAGACTGGGTGCCGCAGCAGGTGAGTGCCCACACCTGCCCACTCACCAGAGTCAGGATCCACAGCTGCTCCTCCTTTAAGAGTTAACTTCATTCTCTTTTCAGACTTGATACCTTCGAAGGGGGCAGAGAAATGCAAACATTAACCCAAAAGAGGGAAGGCCGAGGACAAATGCTTGGTTTTCACAAGAGCCTGGTGACACAGCACCCATGCATGGCCCCTGCTGCCCCGAAGACCTGCCATTCAATGCCCTGGGGACCGAGCCATTCCAGGAAGCAGCCAACAGACTGCTCTGGGGACAGGCGGGCAGGCCCGGCAGCCTGGGCCTCACCTTCTTCCTTGGTACTGCCCTTGCTCTTCTTGGGGACCAGAGCCCCCGACTTCGCCCTTGGGGGCTCTGCTTCAACAGGCTCTGCCTTCACCTCTGCCCCCCAAGGGGACAAGATGTGCGCTAATAACAGCTCCTGTAGGGCCTTGGTTGAGGTGGACACATGCTGGAGGAAATCCTCAGACACAACACGGATGTTGGCTTCTTTTACTTCCTCCATCTTCTTATTCATCTTTTCTACCTCCTCTGTTCAAAATTGGAGGGAAAAAGCAAACTAAACAGTAAGCTGCAAACTAAACCAAAACCTCTGATTACTAGAGTTGTACTTTGCCGAGTACGTCCACAGCTTGTCACTGTTTTCCTTCCCTTCCAAATCTAAGCTCAGAGCACTCTTCATCCCAACAACCATTTTTTCTTTCATCCAAACATTTTAATCTCAAGTTCAACATCCATTCCACGTGCTCCCTCTCCTCAGCATAGACCTAACCTGTGCTTCTGGAGACTATAGCGGCCCAGGCTGCTGTCTACCCTTCTGCTCCTCCCATTCCAGCACCCAGAAGGCAGTCAGGAGACTGTTTCTGTCTCCGACACCTTTCCTCTCCCTTCTTTTTAGATCCAGATCCTCCACTGTTGAGGGTAAGCGAAGGAGAGTGGGGTGAGGGCACTCACCACACTGAACCCCGTGTCTGTGCGACCCCAGCTGTCTGTGGGGTCTGTGAGGCCGCAGAGGGTCACACTTCTGGAGCACCCTGCATCGGTGAGAGGCCTCTTCTCGGCTGTCTCTCACAGGATACAGGGGGACAGCCATCAAGGTATGAAGCCAATCTCTTTAACTTTTATGAGGGATCCTCTTGGTGTCCCTCTCAGCAAAAGGTCCAACCACCACTTCTTATCAGCAACAATCTCTGCTCTGAGCCATGTGGAGTCAGGACACAGACCCTAGGCCAAGTACGAGCAGGAAGTGCCTTACTGCTTCTCATGCTTACATCACATGGAAATGGGCCAGGGGGAGTCCTGAGGCATACTGCTGACCCAGCACCTGAGAGGCCCCGGTTAGATCCCCAGCACTGGGTAAGACACTCACAGCCAAAACCCACAAAGAAATCCACGGACGTCTGCATTTCCCAACCCTAAAACTCCAAATGTTTGTTTTGGCAGGGATCTGTACAGCAGCTTCAGCCTTCAGTCAGGAATGTAAGACAAATGTACAGTACTGAGCAGCAACACAAAATGCAAACACTCAGTTCCCACCCTAAGAAGAAAAACCCCGCGCAGCCAGGCATGCTGGTGCACACCTGGAGGCCGAGGCAGGAAGCCGGAAACGTTTGAGCCCAGTGTGGGCAACTTAGCAAGACACTGTTTCACAATACAAACATCAACAACAAACAGGGTGGAGGATGCAGCTCAGGATGAAGGCCTTAGGTTCAGTCCCCAGCACTGCCAAAAAGTAAGACCACCTGAGCAGTGACGATGAGTCAAGAGAACTTTTCGGTGCGACCTGTGCTGCACACTTCCTCACTGAACCTGCAGCACACGTGCAAGCTAAGCTCCCTGCTACAGCCCAGCCCGAGGTTAGTCTTCGCGCTCACTCTTGGTGCTGATGCACAGGCCGGCCTTGCTGGCTGATCCCGTTAGCTTGCCCCCAAGCTTCTCGACGGCAGCCTTCACTTCATCCTTGTTCCGGGAGAGCTTTCCAAGCAGCAAGATCTTCATGTTGGACAGGGGCTTATCTGGAACGAAGGGCAGAACTGTCACACTGGCCTCCTCTGGCACTGTGCCTCAGGAAGCAGGAGGAGCAACAGGGAACCAAGCAGTGAGCATCCAGGGTGGAGCCAGGGAGGCTGCAGGTCTGTGGTCAGCCTCTGACTCTTTCCATGTTCTCCTTCAGGAAAAACCCATGGGTCAGAAATAAAAGGTCAGCAGAAAGCAGGATGGCAGGCTGTCTCCTCGTGTCACACGTGCTCCATGCCCCCCAACAGGACTGGGCAGGGGACAGACAGAGCAGGCCACACACAAGCCCAACTTCTTTTTTTTTTTTTTGGTACCAGGGATCGAACTCGGGTCCTTGCACTTTTGAGGCAGGCGGCGGAAGCACTGAGCTAAATCCCCGGCCCCCAACTTCTTCTATTATTCTTCACTCTCTACCTCTTGTCTAAAAATCAAATTGCAACTCTTATTTAAAAATTAGACTTGCGGGCCGGGGATTTAGCTCAGAGGTTTGGCTGCCTGCCTTGCAAGCGCAAGGTCCCCAGTTTGATCCCTGGTACCAAAAGAAAAAAAATTCGACTTCTCTGTGATAGCTGCTCAAAGCCTTGGCGACAAGACTGAAATGCACTGAGTCACTCCAGGCAAAGGAGGGCTCATGACTCATGCTCTCGGACCGAGGCTGCAAGCAGCAGCATGGACTTGGGGTCATCTCCAGGTGGGCATGGCAGTGACCACTGGTCCCCACCAGCGATGGGAAGAGTCACATGAGCTCATGTGCAGGAATGGGACCGCCTCCTCCACCCACCCAACCGTGACTTCGCCCTCAGACTTGTGCCATGCTCTGAGCAAATAAGCAGAGGCCCTTGGTGGACCTCACTGCTGCTGGGGTCCTGGAGCACACCTCACCTGCGCTGACCAGTAACTTTCTGATTACAGAACAGACAGGCAAGCAGCACAGCAGGCTCTGGGGAGCTGAGGCACAGGGCAGAGACAGAACGCCTGGGCCTAGCCCACCGCAGGTGTGGCAGTCCACCTGGCCTTTCTCAGGAGTCCCCCCAGCCTCCCAGGGTAAGAACCGTGAGTTCCCTGAGATGAGGCCTCAGGGTCTCACTCTGCTGCTGCCCACCTCCTTAGCTCAAGTGTTCCTTCTGCCTCAGCCTCCCGAGCAGCTGGGCCTCCAGGCACAACCAGCATGCCTGGCAGTACTTATGTCAACACACTGGGGGCCTGGCCCAGGGCAGGGAGGGCTTCCTCACAGGGCAGAGCCTCCGGAAGGAACCCTCACCACCAACTCCAGGCCCTAGCATCTCCGAGCAGCTCAGGACACAGCTGGCACTGTACCTGCCGGGGCAGCGCAGTTCACAGCAGCCGGCGTCAAGGCCAGGGTGGGCGGGGGTGCCATGGCCTCAGGGGGAAATATTCGGTCTTGCTTTTTGACCTTCAATTTCTTCAGGTAAGAGATTTCTCGGAATTCCTAAAAGATACAAATTTTATTTTTTTGTTGGAAACCAGCTATGTCCAGAAGCAACCACGAGACAGATGGAAGGGGATTTGACTTGCCCATATTAAATAATCTTCTTCAATAAAGAACAATATGAAGTGGGGACATGTGTAGCTTCTTCATTCCCACATTATTACTGTTGCTACAGTACTTATTTCTACTTCTTCATCTACGTATGACAGACCTGGCATTGTGGTGCATTCAGAGAGAAATCTTTTCCTCTAGACGAGATGAAACTCAACCTAACCCTAACCAACCCGACAGACCCTGCACCTGCAACCTCATCCCTGGCCCGTTCTCGAGCAGTTCCCATGCAGCCAACAGGCCTTTCTGGGGTCACATGTCCACTGTGTGAGGGACAATCCCCCAACACAGTACCCACCAGGTGAGACTTGGCACCCAGAAGGAAATCAAGCGTGCGGCCGATGGGTGCAGAGCCCCACAGTGCTCACTGGGAACCCTTTCACTGGCACGGCTCCTTCTCCCCAGTTACTTAGGAGAGGCCTTGCTCTAGGTTCTAGGAAAAGCAGTTCTTGTGCACCCAGTATCTCCACCCAACCAGAAAATGGCCCTTCTCGGCTGTCCCTGTGCTCCGTGAACTTCAGCTGAGGTGACAGATGGTACCCTGTAAACAGTAAGTGCCTGACAACTGCCACTCACTACAGGAAAAGACAGTTCCAGCCCTGGAGGTATGCGAAGGTAAACTCTAACAAAGCATCACAATTATGTTTTTTCTGCAGTCCCGGATGCAACGCAGGGCCCTGTGCACACTAGGCACGCGCTCCATCACTGTTCTCTACCCAGAACCTGGAGCCCAGAGCCTGTCTTAAGCAGAGGCAGGGCAAGGCGATGGGCTGGGGAGCCAAGATGGCGCCTGCAGGCAGCAAGTGGCTCAATCTGCCAGGCGCTGAAGAAGCAGAAGATGGTCAAAGCAGAACCCAGGAACACAAGACGACTTGGGGGTGCACGTGAGGGGCTGGATGGGCAGGGGTTGTGTGCAGTGGTCAGAGGGTGGGAGAAGCCCACAGGCTAGACCCGCGGGGGTTGGGAGAAGGGAAGCTAACCTCGACTCTGCCGCACAAACAGCAGGGGCAACAGTCACTGACCTCACAAACCCTCACGGGTAACAGGGCCGCCAGGCTGAAACTCCTGGCACATGCGTGTGCTCTTTAAAAATATGGCAAATGGGCCGGGATTTAGCTCAGCGGTTCCGCCGCCTGCCTGGCAAGCGCAAAGTCCCGAGTTCCATCCCGGTACCAAAACAAAACAAAACAAAACAAAACAAAAATATGGCAAATGGTCTACAACTAGTACGTTAAAATATAAAATGGCATTATCGCACTAATTTCCCCATTAAAGATTAGTATGAGAACAAACCCTACGAAAAGGTCTGTAAAACTCGCATATCCCAGGAAGACTGGGAGAGCTGACTCATCACTGGTAAGGCTCCTTTGGAGGCTTTGTTTTCCTTTTTCCCTCTCAACTTTTCTCTGTGAGGGTTAAGGCTGGGGAAGTGTCGAGGCTGCATGTATTTTAGGAGAGCATCTGGTGGAGCACAGCGAGGAGCCCAGGAGGTGTAACTAACTGTGGTGGTGAACAGAGCTGGGAGGACAGTGGGCCGAGGGCCTGTGGGCAGATGCAGGGCGTCAGCCGGGAAGCAGCTCAGTGGCAAAGTGCTGGCCTAGCACACGCCGCCCTGGGCTCCGCCTCAGCACCACCAAGAGAGAAACAAACAAAAACAAAAAGAAGGCTAAGTTCAGTTCCAGGAGTGGAGTGAGTGCTCTCCGTGTGCCTCTGCTCCAATGTTCCACATGCTGGAGCGGAGTCCCGAGCCCACCCAGGCACCAGGCCCTGCTCTGCCCAGTCTGAGCCCCAGGAGGTCCTGTCAACGCCACCCCCAAAGACTCATACAGACCCCCACCAGCTCCAAAGCAGGCTCCCAGCCGAGCCTTTTGGATCCTGTGGGTTCAATACAAAGTTCCAGATATGTGAAATCGAGAGCCGGTTCTCCCTCTAGCACTAGGGCAAAAATATGCCCAAGAAACTCTCAAATCATCAAGGCAGAAGTTATATCCCTTTATTCGCCCTATGTCCCTTGTGCCTAATACAACACAGGGCATGAAGCAGAGACTCAATCAGTAGAAATAAAAATAATCCATGCCCTTGAATTTCCGGGTGCTTTGACTCCACATCTATGTGGTTTGTAAACTCCTGGAACCAACAGTAAATTGTAAGAGTGTTCTAATAATGAGTCTGGCCCAGCTATAAAGTGTAAGGAACATGCACTGCCTCTTGGTGACCTATGATGTGGACCAGCCCAGACTAGGGCACGCTTTAATGGATCTCAGGACGCCCCTCAACCCCTTACCTTGGGAGTCACCCATTCCTTTCGACTGGGTGTCTGTGTCTTGACCATGCACTTAGTCCAGGCCGTGACGTCCCCTGTACAGTAATAAGCATCGCTCCTGAAGACCAGCTGGCCTGAGCACTGCTCACAGGGAAGGAGGGCCCCAAATGCTACGCCGTCGGCGACTCGGTCCAAGATCTGAAGCAGTGAGGAAACTTGTCAGAGGAAGAGGGCTCTAGAAAGGACAGTCACCAATGTGCAATGAAGACCGCACTCACAAGAGGCTTGCCTTGGGCTCCTGGTTTACAAAAAGGCTCCCCTGTGGGTCTAGAGACCTCATCTGCAAGGACAGCACTCCCCACCTTAGGGTGTTAAAGAGGAAGGCAGAGCCTAGCACTGCATGGGGCTGCACAGGGGACAGACGTGCCACTTGGCAGGGCGGTCTCTATTCCTTCCTCAGGCCTGGCGGCCCTGGAAGAGTTTGGGCCACAGCCCACAGCACCTGACAGAACATGCCAGACATACACACCCCGCCTTAGCCTTCACCAACATTCTGCTGACATGTGAAGATGTCTGGCAGGGTTCCGAAAGGCCACCCTATCCGGCCTGGAAAAACGGTGACCACGATGGTGGTGAGCACGGGACACAAATGATGCCCTCCCACACTCCGTCAGGGCAGCCACTTCGCAGCGACTGGCGTGGCCTCATGTGCATGTCCCACTCAGCACAAAGGCCGCTCACCGCCGACTCCCCAGATGGCACTTGCTGCTTGTTGAAGATGAGCAGCTCTTTCAGGTCATTTGTCGAACATGCTTTCTTCAGCTCGTCCTTGATGTTCCAGATCAGGTCATTCTGGGCCTGTGGATGAGGCCCGGCAGCTGAGAGACTATCTCTTTTCAAAGACAGAAACCCACGGGAGAAGTGTGTCCCTAGTCTCCAATCACACCCATACACTTCGGCTGGGCCTACTTTTACTCCCAGTCAGGACTCTGTTCCAGCCACGCCCCTGTGGAATTCAAACCTGTGGTCTCTCAGAGAACCCTGGAAGGCAGACAGGAGAGCAGGGAGAGGTGTGAGGAAGACCTCACAGGCTCTTCAAACTCTGGCCTGGGCCTTGGGCCCACATGTGTCCTGCTAACATCCAGCACTTCAAGGAGGTAGGGTATGGGGGTTTCCCACCAGTCTTAAAGCTTTAAGATTCCCCAACACCAATTTCCTTAACAGTGTTGTTCTGCTCAGTATCATGCAGGAATATAAGCTCTTTGAGAAGTCAATCTCCTAACTATCTTGCCGAGGGAAATTTCAGCCTTTTCATGTTGGAGCCCAGGATAGCAGCTAAGTTATATACTGTGGCAACTCCTCTGTAAAGTAGGGAGAAGCATGTCAGCCACACCATGCTCTGCACGGCTGCCGTAAGCACCAAATGAAGGCAGGGCAGTAGCTACACAACAGTACCTGCAAGTGCTTCCCACTCCACATCCAGCTCTCTGAGCAACAATCCCCCTGTCCCTGGAGCAGTGCTCATGCTGGGACACCAGTGATGGAGACAAGGTGGTATGAGGAAAAAGTAGTTTAAAGGTACGAGGGTCAACGGAAGTGGAACTGTTTTGCCTCCACGATGGACCAAGGATAGGGAGCCTGCAGGAAGAGAGGTACCAGGGCGGGGAAGCTAAGGGAGCAATGTAATCTTCTGCTTTTCTTTGGATGTCTGGAAACTCTGGGGGTGGGGACACCACCAGACTCACGGAAGGGCAGGGACAAGCTGACACTGCAGTTCCGGGGTGTCCAGATTTAGCACACAACAGAAACTTTTTAAACCCAAAGATCTTGCCAAATTTGTGATTCTTAGGAAGCAACTGAAATCAGATTAGAAATTGCTTCTAATTTTCATACTACCAGAAAAATCTGAACATTCATGTAAGAGATGTAAGCAGAAGGCCCATGGAAGCCATGTCCCAAAGAAGAGGCCAACTATTCTCTCCTAATTCCCCAAATAATCAGCATTTTCTGCTGAAAAGTTTTCTGTGCTTCAACACTGGCCAATCTCTCTGGTCAGTGACCACTGATTTATCTGGTACTTTTCTCTCACGTGCCTTCCATTCCTTTAATGAAAGACCTTCAAAATCATTAATCTTTCTACGCTAAGAACCATAGGAATCCCTGAGTTTAATACTCACTTTCCAGTGTTTACAAGTGACTCCAAGGGTGCAGGATATAGTAGAGCCTGGCTGGGTCAAAGCACATCTCTCTGCCCGTGTGAGGCTCAGGAGGGACAGTGCGCTCAGCACTGCCGGAGCCAGCGACAGGACTGCACTTGCAGCCTGATGTGGGTTCTCTCCCAAGAAAACGAGTTGGAGTAAAATGCCAGGCTACTAATGATGACTACCAATCTGGAAATTCCTAAAGGTCCTAGCAGGTGGAACAGACCTCCCTGAATTCTCCTCCCAGAATGACGAAGAGAACTGAGACAGAACAATGAGAGGAGACCCAGCACTCAGAACTCACCTTGAGGGCCTTTTCCAGCTTGCTGTCCTTGTCCTTTTCTTTCTTAGATTTCTTCTTGGCCACTTCATCTGTCCCATCCACCTCATCGCCTTTCCTCTTTCTGAAAGAGACACGACCACTGAAACCCTGGCCCCAGGGATTTGCAGTGATTCCCTCACTGCAGCTTTTAGCTCCCATGAAGACCCGACCACACCTGTGATCCCTCCCCTTCCTGGGACCTCCCTTGGGACACTTAGGAACCTTCTGTCTACTCAGGTGCCATCTGCAACCAAACGGCAGGAGATGGCTGGGGTTCGCTCCAGGGCCCTGAATCACCTAGCACAGATCCAGGGCTCAGACCTCTCTGATGCCCAAAGCCCATGCACCTCTGGGCACAAACAAAATGGACAAGAAAGTTCTAGGAGGGAATCTACTGGAGGAAAGACCCCAAGCCAACAGCATCCACCCACCCTTCACTCTTGACCCCCGGGAGCTGCTTCTTCAGGGCTTCTTTATCCTCTGCAGAGAGGAGGTTGAAGCCCTTGAGCTGGCTGGCATTGTACTCAGGCTGGAAGCCCAGCTCCTCCCTGTTCTTGACAAAGCAGTCTGGGTGGTACCAACGGTCGATCATGCCTAGCTGCGGCTTCTCTGGGTCTAGCATCTTCTTGGACAGGCGCATCTGGCCCTGTGGGAAAAGACCATAATTGGAATCAAGGGGCCAAGTCAAGGCCCAGCAGGCAACTTGACAGCTCCTGGGAGGTTCTGGCTGTCTTGTCCCCAGATTGTGTGCTAACTCCAAGCCTCTGCACCTGTACTTCAAATGGGGTTAATTCCAAACAGCTGGCTGCACACATATCTGCTGAGCACAGGAAAGACGTTTCCCTGTGGATGCAGGCCCCAGTAGGCCTGAGAACATGGGATGTGCGTGCAGACAGATCCCAGGGCTCACAGGACACGTGCAGCACAGCGGGCCCAACAGGTGGTTTTGCCACCGCCACCCTCTCATAAGACACTGTCTCCACACAGAGTCCCCTGAGAAGCAGTGATAACCCAGAGGGAAGAGCCCAGGCCTGTGGCCTGCTCAGGTTTACAATTCTGAGGCCTGACATTCTCCGGAGGTGCACACTGGTGGGCCACAGACCCACAGACTCCGCCTATGTACAACTCTGTTCCTAGCAAGCAAGCCCAACAGCATACAGGTCCTGGCATCCCCTTGAAGTGCAGAGGACCTCAATTTCTGCCTTCAATTACAGGTGCCTGAAAGGAGCTGGAGAAGATCCAGCAACTCTGTTTCCCCAGCTGCCTGCATGCTGAGTTACAGATCTGGAGTGGCCCCCAAAGGCCCACGTGGTAAAGGCTCGGTCACCAGCCTGCAGGGCTGCTGGGAGGTGGAGCCCAGTGAAGTGCAGTCATTGAGGCTGCCCTTGACCCAGGCCCCTTCCCGACTCTACTTCCCGGCTGCCCTGATGTGCCCTCTACCACTTGCTCTTGCCGTCATGTGCCATGACACTGCAGGTCCAAATCAGACACGGACCAAAACTTCTGAAAACACGAGCCAAAACAAATCTCTCCTTTCAAAATGCTCATCTGGGGTGTTTTGTCACAGTAATGAAAAGCACACTGTATAATGACTTGTACGTCAGTGCCTTAAAAGATCAGTAAGTCTATGTGGAACATCAGAGAAGGCTAGGGATGCCGGGGGGCACAGGCCTGCCTTCCTGGTCCTGTTCCCAGTCATCCATTGCACGCGACTGGCTGGATCACGAAGTTCCTGGTTCAACAGGAGAAAGATGGGCGGCTCCCCGCACGGAAAATGCCCTTTAAGCTTAAGCGTGCCATACAAAGAGACCAACAGCCCCCATCCCCGAGTCCAGAGGAGGTTTCCTATTTGCCTGGCAAACTCTCCAGGTATGGAGGCAGCGACGAGGACCCGACCTGTCTGAAGGAAATCACTGCCATCTCCAGTCTCCACTAGGGTCTCTGCTGCGCTTTCAAACGTGGGCAGGAGACGCCGCCCAAGGCTTGTTTCTTTTCCCCTGGACAGCCAGTGCCACCCCAGGCCCCGTCCCACAAGGCCCAGACACCCAGCTGCCCGAGCGCTCACCTTCTCGATCTTCTCCATGCACCCCTTGCACGTGCTTCGGTTGGACCTGGCGTACTCTGCAGCGAAGTCACCCAAGGTTTTCTCCGCCTTGCCGCCAACTCCATCCTGGCCTTTGCCTGAAGAACCGAACACCCGGCTCAGCAGTTTCATGCTCACAAGATGTCCCATCCTCCTCTTCCCACCCAGGATCCTCCTACCGCGGGGGCCCTTCGGCTTTTAGGCAACCGGAACTGATCTACCTCATCTTTTTAGCTGTGGTTGCTTAACCGTTTCTTTTCTGGTAAGAAAGTGACTTTTGTTCTTTGTCCCCCATACCAAGGCCTCACATGCTAGGCAAGTGTTCGACCGCGCGCGTCACCTCCCCAGGCCGGAAGTGCCCTCACCCAAGTCCTCTGAAGCGGCAGATCAGCTGGCGACTCTGCCACTCTACTCCCTCTGAAGCCCCTTCCCACACACTGGAAAGCACTGTTAGCATATAACCCCAGAATCATACTATTTTCTAAGTCAGCCTTCTAGTTGCCACTGTGCTTTTATTTATACACATCGAATTAAAGGGAATATCTCAATATAGATTCAATTAAATATATGTTAAGAATTAAATATGTGGTAAAGGTTCCATTTTAAATTAGCGGGGAATGATCTAGTAAAGGGCTTTAGGAGTAACTGGTGCACCATCTGGGACAACCGCTAGATTCTTTTCTTATATAAAAATAAGTTCTGGGAGAGAAGGAAAAAGAAAATCTAAGGCTGAATATTTGTCTCCTAAGGCCAAGAATGGACAAGGCGGTCCTCTTTTACTACTTCTATTTAACACTGCAGCAAAGGGTCCAGTACAGTAAGGCAAGAAAAATAAACTAAGTTTAGAAAATAAACAAGCAAAGCTGTCTCTGTATTGGCATGACTATACTTGTGGGATAGCCTTAGGAATCTACAAAAAAGCTCCAAGGACCAATAAATAAATACAGCAAAATCGCAGAGCATAAGGTTGTTTTTGGTACTGGGGATTGAACTAAGGACCTTGCACTTTCGAGACAGGCACAGTACCACTGAGCTAAATCCCTGGCCCACAAATACATATTTTCATATACTAGAAATAAACACTGCAAAAAGAAATTAAGACACATGGCTTTTTAAATATATAAAATATTTAAGAGATAAATTTGACCAATGATGTGAAAGATCCCTATACTGAAAGCTGAAATTCAGTTGACCCAGAGATTCAATGTAATGATAAATTCCTAGCAGGTTTTCTTGGGGTGGAGTGGAGGGGGGATTAATAGGCTTAGTACTAAATTTATAAGGAACTACAAAGAGGGCCAGGGATTTAGCTCAGTGGTTCTATTTGATCCCCAGTACCAAAACAAACAAACAAAAACCAAAAAGGAACTACAAAGAAAGACAAATAATACTGAAAAGAAAACAAAGTTGGAGGAATGCACTACATGATTTTGTGACTCACTACAAAAGTTAAAGTGATCAAGACCCTATAGTATTAGTAGAGAAATCAATGGAACCAAACAGAATCCAACAGAAGGCTCACTGCGCAGTGAACTGGTGCTGACAAAGAAGCCGAAGCTACTCCATGGGAGAAGGAACCTTTCCAACGAGTGTTGATGGAACAACAGCCCACCACAGCCAAAAACCCCAACCTTCTCTCCTCATACCTAACACAAAATTAACACCGATCACAAACTCAGATGCAGAAGTTAAGACCACAAAACTCCTAAAAGAAAACAAGAGTGTATATACTTGATCTTAAAGCAGGCAAAGCTTTTTAGGAGATAGTGAGTACTAACCAAGGAAGAAGGAGAAAAAGTATCAACAGATTAAGACTTTATCAAATTAAAAATTACTGCTCTTCAAAAAATATCAATAAACAAGGCAAGCCACCAACTGGGAGAAAGAATCCATAAAACTTGTATCTAGCCATAGATTTGCATCTCGAATATACTTAGAACTCTTCCAATTTAGTAATAAAATACAAGTTAAATTCATGAAAAGATCACAGGTAAGTATGTCTATTCAGAACTGTTTTGGATTTCAGATTTTTAAAAAAAAGTTGGAATATTTATATATATATATATATATACAATGAGACATCTTAGGGATGGGATGCAAGTCTGTATATGAAATTCATTCATGCTTCATTTACATATTATACACATGGCCTGAAAGTAATTGTACATAGTGTTTACCCTGTGCCTGCATTCTAATTAATCATATGAGGTGTGGAACTTTCCACCTGTGGCATCATATTGGTGCTCAAAAGTTCCAAATTCTGGAGTACTTTGGACCAGATTAATCTAACATTACATAGACTTCCAGAATGGCTAATATTAAAAAGAGCAACCATAACAATTGTTAATGAGGACATGGAAGAACATGAAACTCATGTATCATCGGTGGGAATATAAATGATACAGGCACTTTGGAAAACAGCTGGGCTGTTTCTTAAAGAGCAGAACATATGTCTGCCATGTGCCTAGCCGTTCCACTCATTTACCCAAAGAAATCAAAGTCCACACACATACAGAGTCTCAGTAACAACCCCGATTGGCAACAACCCAAAAGGTGCCAGTGGGCCAAGGGGTAAACAAACTGCGACTTATTCAAACAAAGGGCTACTTTTCAGTAAGGGGATAACCTGGGCAAGTCTCACAGATGCTAGGTCCAGTGGGAAAGATCGTACAAGCAAGCACGATTCTCTTCTAACTGGATAAAGTCAATCGATGGTGTTGGAAATCAGAATAGTAGTTTCCTGAGCAGGGGAGGGCGACTGGTAAAGGGCACCAAGGGAATTTTCTGGGATGACAGCATTATTGTGCAACTGAATGGGGCACATGTTAGACACACATATCTGCAAAAACCACCGAGCTGTATCTTAAGATCCGTGCCTATAACTCCACGTAAATTATTTTTAAAATTTTAGGCATAATAGGGCCGGGGATTTAGCCCAGTGGTCCATGCCTGCCTCACAAGCGCAAGGTCCTCAGTTGGATCCCCAGTACCCAAAGGAAAAAAAAATTTAGGCATAATATCAAAAAGATACCACACAAAAGAAGAAACACACAACTACTAAAACACTAATAAAATTTATGGCAAAATATACAATAGACAAAGCTAAAAGAAAAATGTCAAGCTAGACACACAGACAGGAAAAAATATTTGCAAAATGTGATGACAAAGAATATCTTTGATACTTCATTAAGAAAAAACCAAGACATCTTACAAGAAAAATGAGGGACATGGATTAAACAGTGCATCTGTCCCTGGGTATCTGTGGGGCACTGGTTCTGGAACGCCAGACAACAACATGTGCGGTCACCTAAGCGCCCTACATAAAATGGCACTGTCTCTGTGTATCTAGATTCTTTTGTTTTCTTTAAAATGTTTGCAGACAATTAAAATACATAACACAATGTAACTGCTATGTATCTCTAGTGATACAGGATTGTTTAGAGAACAGCAACATGGAAAAAACGTTTAAACTTACTCAGTGGATATGGAGTTTTCTGAAATATTTTTAGTCGAAGGTTGGGTGCATCAGTGGATGTGGCACCCAAAGAAACGATGGGTCAACTTAACACAAATTACAGAAAAAGGGCTAATAAACACGATGGCGTGTTCCACTCCACTAGGAGTGAAAATACTTCGGAATGGTGTGGAAGTGGCGGACTGGCACACTAACTGACGGCTCTCTGGAAGGCAACCTGGCCCACGCAGAGGCTTCCTCGGTTGTCCACTCCTTTGAGTGGCAATTCCAGTTCCTCAAATAAAAGAACTGGACAGACACCTATTATGTGTAAGAAGTTTACAGCAGCTCTAAGATAGCTATAAGGTCAAAATTCTGCTCTCAAAAGCATTATAAGTTGAATTACTTTTCATATGTCTAAAAATAGCCAGTTAGGCTTTGGATAAAAAAGAATCCCTAGAAAATTAGCAGGTACTATTTTAACTCTATGGTACTCTTCAGACCTTTCCATGGCAAATTTACCATTATTCTGAGCAATCTCCATTTTCAGCAGATCAGAAGGGCAGGAGTTAAACCCACTACAGTTGCAAGAGGAACAGGCAGGGAGAGGAAACACACAGAACAGCACTTCAGCACAGACTCAAACAGCTCCTTGCAGGGGAAGGCCACGTTCCCATCAAAGTCCTGATAGGCCGAGCCTGGTCAGGTTAGGAAGGCAGAGAACGTGCACGCAATCTCAGAATGTTTCCTTGAAAAGTGATGCAGACTGACTTTCTGAAGACGTGAAGCCACCCAGCAGGTTAAGCTTATGGACATCAATCTAGTTTTTATAGAGACAAAAGAACCAGAAGAGCCAAGTCGATATGGAAAAGACCAAAGTCAGAGGGCTGACACCACCTGAACTGAAGGCTCACTATAAGCTCTAGCAATTAAGACACTACCACTGATTGGCTAAGGGGTAAGCAGAAAACAGGCCCACACAAACAGAATCCACTGATCTTCACAGAGACGCAAAGGCACCAGAGCAAAGCCTTTGCAGTGATGGAACAGAGGGACATCTGTGTTAAAAAAAAAAAAAAAAAAATCTCGACAGAGTCCTTGCACAAAACTGTAACACTCCTCGGCCGGGGATTCAGCTCAGTGGTGCCGCCGACTGCCTTGCAAGTGCAAGGTCCAGGGTTCAATCTCCGGTACCCCCCCCCCCCCCCCCCCCCAAACTGTAACACTCCTTGAAGACAATGTAGGAGAAAACCTAGATGACCCTGGGTCTGGAGATGACTTTTTAGTTGTAACAAAGGCATGATCTGTAAAGTATCTGGTAAGCTAGACAACGAAAACTTTCTGTACTATGAAAGACAGAATTACCAACCACAAACTGGGAGAAAATACTTACAAAAGACCTGCTCCTGACAAGGGGTTATTGTAACAAATACACAAAGAACTCTCAAAACTCAACAGTGAGAAAACAACAGCTAAAAATGGGCAAAAGATCTAAACAGATACCTCACCAAAGATGTACAGATGGCAGGTAAGCATGAGATGTTCAACATTATACAGCAAGAGGAGCTCAAATTAAAATAACAATGAAGTTATCACACAGCCCAAAACAAGATACCACCAAATGCTACATGCTGGTGAGGATGTAGGGTGACAGAACTCCTACTGCTGGTGGGAATGTAAGCAAAATGGTCCACACATTTGGGAAGAGGATGGATGAACAGTTTTAATAGCAAATGAAAAGCACTCTTACCATACAACTGAGCAACCATACTCCCTGGTATTTACCCAAAGTAAAAAACATGTCCATGTGGAAATCCGTACATGTTTGGCTTATCTGAAATATCCCCCAAACACCACATGCGAAGGTTTACGTGCCAGGCAGGAACTTGGGGAGTGTGGCCTCATGGGAGGAAGTGGCCTAGAGGGGACCTGAAGCCTGGCAGCCCCCGCACCACTATGAGGTAGCAGCTGTGCTCCTCCATGTGGTCCCCACCACAATCTTCTGCCCACAACAGGCCCAAAGTGATGGGGCAAAGCAACCAGACTTCAGAAACTGATCCCAGATGAATCCTTCCTCTTTTTAAGTTGTTTGTTTCAGGTATTTTGCTACAATGACTGATAGCAGCTTTGTTTATAACTGACTGTCAAAACTTGGATGCAACCAAGCTTTCCTTCAGCAGGTGAATGGATACACCACGGTATAGCTGCACGATGGAGTATTACTTAGCACTAACAAGGAATGAGCTGCCAAGCCATAGAAGGACGTGGAGAAACCTCCCATGTCCATTACTAAGTGAAAGAAGCCACTGTGAAAAGGCTATACTAGGGCGGGGAATTTAGCTCAGTGGTTCTGCCGCTTGCCTCGCAAGCGTAAGGTCCTGAGTTCAATCCCCGGTACCAAAAAAAAAAAAAAAAAAAAAAAAAAAGGCTATACTATACTACTACTGTAAGATTTCAACTATGCGATATTTTAGAAAAGGCAAAACTATGGATATGGCAAAAAGATCAGTGGTTGCCAGGGGTTACAGGAAAGGGCAGGATGAAGGGCACAGCATAGAAGATCCTAGGACAGTGAGATTCCGCCCCACGATGTTACAATAATGAAAACATGTCATTACACATCTGCCAAAACCCTAAGAGTGCACAACACCAACAGCAAGCCCTGATGTAAACTACGGGCTTTGGGTGACAGTGCACCAACACAGTTCAAAATGTACCACGGGGCACTACTGAGAGAAGGGAGGCCATGATGCAGTGCTGGGCAGAGGGGAAGCCTGCACCTCGCTCAATTTTCTTCTGAGCCTAAAACTGCTCTAAGAAACAAACTCTACTTTAAAAAGCTTAAATGGAGGGCCGGGGATTTGGCTTAGTGGTTCTGCCACCTGCCTTGCAAGCGCAAGGATCTGAGTTCGATCCCTGGTACCAAAAAAGCTGAAATGGAATGCTATAGTTTGTACCTAGACATCCTCCCAAAGCCCTGTGAGCTCCTAAGGCAGGGTTTGGGGAGGAGATGGGTCACCAGGGGCCTTTCTTGCCTGCCCTGCTCCCTTCTCTGCCTCTTCTGTGATGCCCCTCTGCCAGCCAACTATGGACCGAAAACTCTATGAACCCTAAGCCCAAATGCACCTCCTCTCCAGAGTTGTGGGCCACAGGTGTGTCTCAGTGATGAAGAAAGTGACTAAGATACAGAATGTCAATGGAACAGGAATTTCTGAAAGACCCCCACTAGGGATTTTATATGACAAAAAAAAAACAAATCAGCAGGGAGAAGATGAACCAGTCAGTAAGTACAGCCAGGAAAACGAAGCTGTCACACAGGAAAAACCACACACCGGGATATGTCAGGGTAAATTCCAAACAGATTAGGTGTGGCGAGTCAGAAGAAGAAAGGGCCCTACAGCCGTGTCCCAGGCCTAGTGTAGCTCCTCCCTGGCCTGGGCTGGGGGCACAGCGCTCTCCCCAAACAGGGAGTCTAATTCCTGCCCTCTTCGGACTCAGATGGGGCCGTGGGCTGCAGGTGTGCGGTGCAGCGCGACATGCGACGTGACTGCCAGAAGCAGGGGACCCAGGCAGGTGTCACTTTAACAGGTGCACGGGGTGCTGGCGGTGGAAGGCATTTGGGGGGGCTGGGGCTGGGGGGGCTTAGGTACCTTTGTGGGCTGCTCAGTTTTGCTGTGAACCTAAAGCTGCTCTAAAAAACAAGGTCTATTAAGAACAAAAAGTGGTCAGCCAGGCACTGCCGAAAGACACCACGTGCCCCAGGGGCTGCGGGACAGGAGAGGGACCCAGTGCAGCGCATACCCGTCACTCCTCCGGCCTCCGCAGTCTTCTTCACTTTCTGTTGGTCATCCCACCGCAGCTCCGAGAAGCCGTCCACCTCCACGTCAGGGTGCCGGATGGTGTGGCCCATTTTCCAGAAGCAGGAGAAGTGGTACCAGTGTGGGACTTTGCCATCGAACATGGGTGACTGGAAGGGGGGAAGGAGAGCAGGTGAATGGGCAGTCAGCTGACCTGAGCTCACCCGCCAGCTCTCTGCAAGAGGAGGTGGCCTGGCTGCAGGGAGAAGGCAGACCACACCGGGCACATGCTCCTGCTCAAGATCTTCCCTGATAGCTCGGAAAGCATGGCCAAGCCACCGTCTCAGGACATAAAACCAAGCCGCAGAGCTCTGCTTCATGTCCCTTTAAACACAGGCCAACCAAGTCAGTGACTTGTTGCACAGCCGTGCAGAGCCAGCTGCTCGGTCCCAGCCCCAGCACCCACGCCTGTATTCAAAGGCCTGTGTGACTTCGAGTGGGCTAGTTAAGCATCTCTGCAGTTAGGAGTAACTAGGAACAAGACCCAGATAACGAGTGAGGCAGAGAAGACGTACCACAGAAGAGTGCCCGACTCCTAGCGGCACAACGAATTAACTTCCGTGCAGGAAGCGAGTGAGTGCAGACCAGGGCTGTAGACCTGCGCGACTTTTTTCCAGGGAACCGAAAGGTCCGGGGAAAGGAAATGTGCCCTTTCCCGGGGCTTCCTTTCCTGTGGTGTTACACACAGGTGGCGTTGACCTAGCGTGCTGGCTTTTGCCTGTGGCAGGTCCAGGGTCCACTCTGGAGCCCGGTATGGTCTGGCTTGGGAGAGTGGACAGTGACTGCTGCACTGACTTAGTCCCCATGTCCTTCACAAGCCACGCGGTGCACCCCACAACCTGCATGTGTGGGAACAAGCACACCCACAAAGCTTGCCTGGGGAGGTGGTCACAGCAGTAAATGCCTCAACCTGAATCCATGCCTGACGCAAGGGTTCTTCCCCCTACACTGGCCTATAAGAGGAAATACTTAAAGTGCATGAACTGTAGCACAAGCTGTCCCAGAGCAAGAGAGCCCCAGAATGCATTCTTACCGCAAAGAAAACTAAAGGTCACACAGATGTAGTAAAATTTACAATAGCGTTAAAAAATAACATATCCACAGCTTTTACGGTGAAGCTGAGGGGACGGGCCAGATGCCAGAAATGCATCCCGATTAGCCTGCTGCTGCTATCCAGATGGAGCGCATTCAAGCGTAGGGCTAAGGCACAAGTCTCCCAAGCACTCAGCCAGCCGGGGTTATCACTGCACCTGCGCCCCAGGGTCTGCACAGCGCCCCAGGACCTCACATCCAGCTCCCTGCAGTGAAGGTTGCTTTTGGTGGTGTCTGATCCAGGCCTGTGCTTCACACTGGTCAGACACTCCAGAGTTGCATGCATCTAGCAACACCCAACACAGTGGGCAGGCAAAGTGTCTGCAAAGGCCTCCAGTCTGGAGGGAGAGAGGATGGGCTTCCCAAGAGGAAAACAGATGGTATCTTCGGAGCAGACTCACACCCGGCCCATCTTACTAGGCAGCCCTAAGTATCTAGCTGTGACACAATGATACTGGCAGTGGCCGCCTCTCCTCTGCAAAGCTCACAGTGGCTGTGGCATTTTCTCTGCAGGGGACCCACACCTGCTGCCCCTTGGCCTGGGTGCTGTGCAACCCAGAGGCACTGCTCAAGGGCACAGGCTTAGGGAAGCCCGGAACAACTCGAGGCTTTAACTGAGGGACTGAGAAGGATCCAGCAGAAAGGCCCTGGACCAGGGACCCAAGACTCTGGCCTCCACTCTCAGCCATAAAGCTCAAGCGAGGCACAAAATCCTCGGCTGTGCACCCCGAAAACACTCACTGACCACCTACCACACGGTGCTAAAGGTTCAGTTCCTTCCTGCATCACAGTCCTCGTCACGTAGCAGGCTACCATCGGACAGAACAGAAAGACCTTCCCGAGTGGGAGGCTCAAACCTTCCAGGACTCTCCCAGTCCCAGTGCTCGAGGGCCAGGTGTGGCGGAGCTAGCTCGTCTCAGTCCCACTACAGGGAGGCTGAGGCAGGACCGCTTAAATCCACACATTCAGAGACTCAACTGATAAAGAAACTGAAGAGCCCAGCCCTTCCCTCCAGCTAAAGTGTCCCGGTGCTCCATTCTCAGAGCACAATCCTCCCATGCAAATGTAAAAGAAGGTATTTAAATTCAATCAAGAGAAAAAGCTCCACCTATAGGATCAGCTTTAAACTATTTTTAATTAAAACTTCAAATTACAACAACAGGAAATCCACACTTACTTTGAATAATAAAATTTCACTATCAAGTAAATTGAAGGACGGCCCAGAATACTGAATTTAGGGTTTGGCAATTTGGTTCTGGTTCCAGCCAGGAGGCTTCTAGAACCAAGCCAGACCTCTCTTCCTCCCCAAAGCAGCACTGGCTGGAGGTGGGGTTTCTGGCTGTCCCTCCTGCCACAAGAGGGCCCTGAGGCTGCCTGGGAGGCCTGTGGATGTGGCTTTCTGTGAGTCACATCCTAAAATGTGTAGTAAAATGCACAGGCCCACAAAGAAAACCGGTTATACTGAAATAATTATCAAAACATTAAAATCAGTATGTTGAGGGTAAGCACAAGTCTTAACAGTCTCTCAGCTACTAACTACTGTGATCATGAAGTAATGCGAAGGTAAATGTTACTCTGAGAAATCCCTAACTGTACAGTGACAGGGTCAAGTTTGTAATTACCACTGGTGATGAATTCACAGGTACAGCTGAGACATCTGAAATAATGAACTTCATCAAGAGGTTAGTGAAGGCAGAGATGTGAATTTTTTGCTCACCTAAACTCGGGGACCTCTACCCACAATCTCATTGTCCCCAGGTTAAGAAGCAGTGCACCGCTGGGGTTGGTGGCAGACGCCTGTAACCCCAGCCTGCAGGAGGATCCCAAATTCAGGCCCAACCTGGGCAATTCAGCGACTTTGTGAGATTGTTTCAATACTTACAAAGGGGAGGTGAGGTGGGGCTGGGACGCCTCCTGCCTGGCCTAAACAAACAGGCTGTCTTCAGCAATCAGCGACCTCTCACAAAGCGAAGTACACAACCCCTCTGGCTGGAAGTCCAGCGATTGTCTACACACCTGAGCAGACTATCATAAACACAATTACAGCCCCTTTCCCCCAAGTCTATATAAGTATTGTGCTCTTTCCCAGCTAGCTGCTAGAATCTTTGCCTGAGTTCGGCCTGTTCACTGGAATAAACTTTCCTTTTCCTCACAAAAGGCCTACTAATGAGTGGATTCGCGTGTGCCACCTCTAACAGCATGCAGCTGGGATCAGGCCCTAATCACACACACAAAGCCGTGCGCCTAGCAAATGCCTGCAGAATGCTGTGAGTCAGGTACCAAGCTAGGGAGGTGCCCATCCACCGAGACACTGGAGGGAGGTTACAGAAGACAGCCCTTGGTACCTGCTCAGTGCCTGCCTCTTTCTTACCTCCCAAGTACTGACACCCAGCGAGGGCTATCAGGTTATTCCCGAAACACAGTATACAGCCTCATGGCGGACGGGGAGGTTGGTGACTTTGACCTGAGTATGCTGGAGGTGTGCAGGGACAGATGGCAAGAGCCAGCTACAAAGGCGAACATCATCAGGTGAGGCCAGGAAGCCAGGACACCTGGGAAGGAGCCTTCAAGCCTGCCACCCACTGTGCATCCCAACACCTCCCTGGCCATCTGGGAAGCCAGAAACCGTCAGAGGAGACTCCCCCAATCTATCAAAGCGCCTACACGAGGCCAGGAGTGGTGACTCAGGCCCATAATCCAGGCACTGGGAGGCTGAGGCAGGAGGACTGCCGAGCTTGAGGCCAGCCTGGGCTGTACAGTGCGTTCGAGGCCAGTCTGAAGTACAAAATGAGAACTTGCCTCAAAAAAGGGAAAAAAAGCAACAAGCCTAGGCGAGAAAGCCCCTGAATCATTCTTACTCAAGCCAGACTGCTGCAAAAGAGCTGAGAACACCTCTGTGGTCCTGTAAAGTCTGGGGAAAAACTATTTAAAATCACAATGTAGGCCAAATGTGAATGCGCTACGCAGAAATGAGTCTTGCATCGTTCTGGATAATTAAAATAAAGACTGAAAGAAAAAGCCCCGAAAGCGAGCGGGTTTTGAAGTGGTAACAGCGCAAGATAAATTTAAAAATGCAGAAACCCGCACGCGCCGGTCGCCAGCACCGAGACGGAGCCGCCCCGAGCGGCGCGGCCAGAACCGGAGCCGCCTCCCGGGCTCCGGGCCGAGCGCCGGTCCCAGGCCGCGCC